TCCTGCAACACTACAGACCAACTACATTCACTTCCGCTGACATCAGCAATCTACAGTCCAGGCCTTGTCAATTCAGATGTGTGACAGTGTGGATGGTTTAAGCCAATCAGGGAACCAGTTGGCAATTTTCCTATCGGGGTCACTAGACCAAACATGGTTGTTGTCTTTTAATGAATCATTGTTCCTTAACTTTTATGGTGTGAAACTGGGACATAATATAAATGCACTTAGAGACTCTATCCAGCTCTTCTACATCAAAGTGGGATTTTGTTTGTATTACCACTGAGTTGCTCATTTGAAAGACGAGTAAGTTTTTAGCTCTAAACAGCTCTTAACAATTGGTCCCGGACCAGTATGCAGCCCATCCTTATTAGCTATGATATATGATTGTAGGCGCGAGCGGTCAAGACACGACATTGAAGTTTTTTCAAAAAATACACAGTGTTGCTAAAAACCGCCAGTTTCAGTAGGTAAAGACAAGGAAAACATAAAGCTACACTGTCAAAGGTCGCATACAAAGGAACTGGATCTGCGTGTTGTGTGTCTGTGTGACGTGTCACTCTTGGGTGATGATATTGCCTGATCGTGCATGAGTGACTGCCAATAGCTTCGTGGGCTAATTAGGTGGAAAGAGTGACTGTAAACAGTTACTTTTGTTTCGCACAAGTTTGTACAGCAGTGCACACACACCCGACCCTTGTCTGTTTAGTCATCTTGGTCAACACCTGGTCGTGTTTTGATGTTGAAGTATTTTCGATACACATGTTTGTGTAATGAGGAAGCAGGTTTATAGAGGCTTGCACGTGTCAACCAGGTCTCAGTACACAGGACTGGGCTTGTGGTGTGTGTCTTGTATGTGAGTGTCCTCATTTGACAGTATCCTCATCTCATACAGTGGTGTGTCTCGTGTAGTCTGGCGCTCCAGTCTATCACCAGCTGAGCCTGCGACCATGGCACCATATAGCAGAATTCGCCACCACAGAGTTCACACTTCTCCTGCTGTCTGTAGCGTACGTACCTAGGAATTCATAATCAACACTTGACAATCATGGCAACTTACATGTCCTTTTAAGCAAAAAAACGAGTACAACAGATATTGTGATGACAATAAGTGTCCCAGCAGCTGATACAGGTACCACAATCACAAGAAATGAGGAACCACCAGTGACCAAGAACTCCACCTTCATCATACTGTATCTCAAGTGGTAAGGGATCACTGTATCCTGCACAGTTGTGGGCTGAGATGTTCGCTGACAGTGTAGTATGACATGATGTAAAAACTGTAAGTGGGGCCTGGAGTTTCCAACTGTGTGCCATTGTCCACTTGAATAATGTAGTGATCAATTGGAACTCCTCCTTCATCAAACATATCTCCTAGCTCTAGTACTACTGTGTCCTTCTCTCGGTTTACAACACCTACTGCTTTAATAGATTTAGGCACATCTGAAAAAGATGCAACACAAGATTATCCAAAGCCTACCTCTGGTTATGCTCACCAACCTGTAACATAGATGGTAGCAGTCATGTTACACACATCATTCCCAACAAAAGTAATGCAAGTGACATTTGTTCCATTTCTTCAACGCTCAGACGTTGCTCTCGGGGTAGACTGCTCATTGGTCATGTTGACACTCTCTCATCTGCTGCTCGCTATGTCAAGAGTGAGACAAGAGACATTGTCGGTGCTCTCTCATTGTCAGCACTCCTGGGTCGCCACTCTCATGAAGTCCCTAGTCAGACTCACCCACGTTCGCTCATTTCCACCCCAGAGCACCACCCTTTTTCCATTCTGCGTCACTCCACAACCTCATCCCACAATCCTCCCCAAGATTGCAGAATTAGTTGCCTACTGTTTAGACTGATTGGTCATGTTTGCAGAAATGTTATCAATTCTATCAAAATATACAAGAGTTGAGAGGAGTACATTGTCAGTGCTATTCATTGTCAGCCTTCCTTGGTCCGCCATCATTTGGGAAGGAATATAAGTCAGATCAACACCCATTGGACGAGGTTCCACCTCCCATTTAATGAGAGACACCTGGCTGTCACTACATGTAAATGTCACAGATTCATTGGGACAGGAATGAAAAGACAATGGTTGCAGAGCTGGCTCTCCAGCGCATAATCGCCTTGTGTAAATAGCACCGTCCAGTATCTGACCCTGCAACAAGAGTCCAATGAATAGGACATGGTAACCGATATTTCTCTGTCGCATTTGGCCGGATTTTTCTTCTACCAGAACTTTTGCTTACACCAAACCTCGATTATCTGAGAGTAAAAAATGTTCCGTTTGGCCGAGAAAACCGCGTCGCGTTAGCCTCCCGGGCGGAGCCCGCACCTCAACTATGTAAAAGGAGGTGGAGTCATCATCGACGCGCCTAACATAGTTGCGAACTTTTCCGGAGGACGATCCGGGAATCGCGTCCCTTATAAATGGGCCATGCCCACTTATTACGTAATATAACGCGCGCGTGAGTAACCATCTTCGCATACTGCGTGTGCGCGTATGCTCGAAACTCCTCGTGCTGACACTATAATACCAAGTGGAAAAATCCTAGGTATTGACCAGAGCTTAGTAAGAAGTTCATTATGAGAGGCACTGTCAAAGGCTTTCTTGAAATCGAGATAAACAACATCTGCTTGGGAGGAGGAGGAGGAGGAGGTGAGAGAGTGCTGGATAAGACTGAGGAAAACCAGCAATTGTCGAAACCCAAACTGAGCAGGAGAGATTGAAGCAGACACACAAAGTCAATGATTTTGTTGTATATCAACTTTCCAGAACCTTAGATATTATGCGCTGCCAAGTTGCTCCTCGTGCAAATCAACAGCTAAACGCAAGCTAGCCAGTTAAAATGTGTATACTGACTTACAGAAGACACTGGAGGATAAGAATTCTTCTGCAGGCTAGGCATCCTGGCTTAGTCTCGTGCACCAGGTTCACGCACGAAATGCGCGCGCACCGCATTGGGGAAACGCCCTCCTCTGCGCATGCGGCTCACTGATGCTGAGTTAGCAGCAAATGGCGTTGTTCAGTGACTACCGTGGAAGAGCTCAATGATCTACCGTAGTGACTTGCGGCAAGAAACAAGCGATCGCTTGATATGCGTGCACACCTCCGGAAAATTTGGAGACGTTCTGTGAAAAAACCAACGCTTCAACTGCTTCCGGTAAGGAGCTAGCGGGTCTGAAGAAGAAGATGAAGAATATGATGATGATGATGATGATGATGATGACACGAAAATCGCGAAATCGCGTAAGTGCGAATTCTCTGGTGGGGAACTGAGGGCACGTAGGAAGTCTTGGGGCATATGTATAGCTAGGTATTGGCCTCTAGACTATTGCTAGTGATTTTGAAGCCATGGTGAGTCATTCTCGCTGAGTTTTGAGGCGTTTTGTACGCGGATCACGTGAGATTTCACTCGTGTCATCCCTATATAGAGCGTCTACCGACGCTCTGATACTTGACTAACCTCCTGCATGCTAAAACAAATTTTCTCCAGCAATCAAACTGTGGCTGGGGTAGAAGGTTTGATCAGCAGTATACAGAGAAGTACAAGTTCCAGTTCTTCCACCGGACTGCTGTTAAAATGTGCCTGGTTTTATTGGTTAAAGTAGCCGACCAAGTCCAGGAGGTACAACAGTATTCAATTCTAGCCAATGTATTTGCATCTAAAATATTTCTCTATACCAATCCATATGTTTTGCATTTCCTAAAAAGAGATTTTGCATCAGATCGATAAGCAGCATCTCTATAGGCCTGAAATATGGTAACTCAAGCAACACACTGTATCGACAGCCAAGCCGAGACTCCTCCTTTGCCATGCTCTGTATTTGAGGACTTTGATCACGTCTGAACGAAGATGGTCATATACACCAAGTAAAGAAGACATACATTATGTAGTGAAGTTGTGTATTATACCTCAACTGAACCACTTCACAAAGTTCGCTCAGTTCGGTCACCAGTGGTATATAAAAGTTAGCTGTTAATAGTAAATGAATGCTCACAGGGACCTGGTATAACCCCGTATACGATGATATTCTTACGTTTATAACGGATTGATCTTGGAAGGTTCAATATAGCGTGGTAAATTACACTGACCGAGTACTGTACATGACATTGAGTAGTAACCATAGCTACGATGCTCTGTAAGAAAAGGAACCTCATCAACTGTTAAAAACTCCAAATGGATCCCTCATACACGTCTGACAAACCTGAGGCAGAAAATTGAGTTTGCGTTCATTCACATTGTTCAACAAGCCTCTTCGCATCACTAGTGCTTTAAGACAAGAGATCAGACTTACATAGCAATTGACTTTGAGGGGATAGAACTTGACAGTGCCACTTCTTGTAACAATCTATTTGTTAGGACCTGGTTGCAAATCTTCCTAAGAAGCTTGCACCTACACATTGCACTAGTTGTACGAGTGCCAACCTTTTTTTCACACATTCCTCAAACCTGTATATCACATCACACCTCGAACACACAGCTCATTTTTCAAAATGATGAGCTAGGTATAATACTATATATAAAACCTGGATACTGGTGCAAAGTTGAGGGAAACTGACGTGCAAGCCTTGCTACTCTCTTGGAGCCAAGAAAACAAAAAATTACAAACAAGAAAGTGATTAACCAGGAGAGTGCTCTATTGGTAAGGTATATAGAACTGTGTTTGAAACAAAGAAAGAAGTGTTATTACCCATCGAAGAGTATTATCAACTTCAGCTGACTCTTCCACCAGTTCATCTGGACGCAAGAGGGTATAGTGGTAGCTATACCAAAAGTAAGATGTCTTCCTCGATTTCTGAGTCACTCTCAACCCAAAATTCAGCATCTAATGTGGACTCAAACACATCAGTCAGCTGGGACAAAGTTTCAAAATTGAGCTGGGGTTATTCGGCTAGAGTTCTGAGGGTAGGGTAAACCCACAAATAGCCCCCTTTCCCGCAGCACGCACCATGGCATGGAAGATCTTCACCTCTGCTTCCGATACTCCCATTACTAACCCTTCACTTTCTCAGAGAATTCTCGTACATTTTTTCTCCAGATTCCTCCAACTCCAAATCAAGACCACTCAGTTTGTCTGAGCTAGACAAGTGTTGGTCTTCGCGCTCTTTCGTCCATGAGTTTGTGGAGGTGCTGAAATACAATCGTTTGTGCTCTTTACCCTGACTTCTATATCACAATGCTCACACTCTATATAATAATGAAAAGCACTAAAGTGCAAACCCTCGGCGGTAAACTAGCGAGTTGTAGCATAGCTGTCTGGGCCGTGCGTCATCGACAGAGCCAGTATAACACGAATTTCACTGTAACACAGGGTAGTTGCATTAGCGGTTAGAGCAATAGCTTGGGTGTTTCAGAGGCTCTCATATTTGCTTTATTCAATCTATCTGCTCTTCTGTGTTTCAATGCTCTCGCAAGACGTTTTATAGATGGGAAGGCAAGGCCGCAACCACAAACTGCTCGCCACCTGAACTATTGCGAACATACCTTACTCAGCATGTTTATCGTTTATCCACAGGGAACAGAGATCAAAACTGACAGGAGGCCGTGGATCGCATATACAACCAAGCGCATGCTCCGGCGATTAATGGACATTACGCGTGCGCGCTATATAGCTAGCCTGCAGGTGAGGGCGCGTGCGCGATAGACCGCACGTTGGCTTTTTCGCTTGTTTTCACGCCATATCTCTGGAACGCAGTCGTTTCGGGAAAATCGCCACATTAATATCAATCTTCTTGTCGTTCACAACCCGTTGGTGCCACTCATTGGCCGCCTCGTAGCCTGTAGTGCTATAACTCGTGCGGACGGACAGACAGACGGACAGACAGACAGAATGAAAAGCACTAAAGGGCAAACCCTCGGCGAAGTAGCTCGCAGAGAGTCTGACACGGGCTAGCTACAGTTGTAGATAGCACGCGATAGTCGATACACGACACTCGTTGTGACTTCTTGTGCCTTCAAGATAGACAGAGCAAGCGGACCCGGTCCTGTGCTAAATATAAGCGCATGCGCATTAACCGCCAGGGATAAAATGGCGACTACAGCCATTTGCCATACAATGCTGGAAGCGATCTAGCTTAGCAACGGAGCATTTTCAGAGAAAACCGTTCGAAAATTCTGACCTTCATTGCCGGTTAAGTAGGTTGTATCGTTTGTGAGACGAACAGACATTCGAGAAGTGAGATTGAGAGTAACAGACAGACAAACCCCACTACAGTACCCTCGCTGCGCATGCGCGCCGAGGGTAATGACTACTGTAACCCTCGCTGCGCATGCGCGCCGAGGGTTAATTATGCATCTTCTCTATTTTGCAGGCAGTGAAAATTCCTCATGTTCATCCATTTCACTCGTGTCGCGACACTAAGTACGGTAGTACTTAGTATAAGGGATGACACAGATCATTCTGCAATATGCCCATGTTTCACTTTCAGTTTCAATCAGATCCAACTTTTGACACATCAGACTGATCCGTACCAACACAAATAGCATGTATCCAAGAAATGGATTAAATCGCATAATCGGTATAATTATTATAGCTACTTGATTCATTCAAGAAAGCAATTTTTCAAAATTCTTGTTGTTGTTGTTGTTCAGTTTAGACACGAGGTATCTCAAAAGCCACTTAACATCTAAGTGTGTGTCTCGTGCGGTACATACCAACGCCATTGATGCTCTGTCCCTTCTCCAAGTGGAAGTGGGGATTCCATTTGGGTGTGAGAGTATCGTTCACTCTGTGGTGAGCCTCCAGGAGGATATCTCAATTCCACCTGAATCGCGTTGCGCACTCCTAGTGATTTCTCCAATGCCTTCAACTCAGTCAACCGTGCGTGTAAGGTGCGGTCTCAGATTCCTTCGTGGGTAGAAAGCTGCTATATGGTTCCCAACCACTTCTGTATTTTGGAGACCACAAGCTCTTCAGCTGTTGCGGAGTTCAACAAGGAGATCCTTTACGTCCCCTATGTTTTGCTCTCACCCTCCACCCGATTGTTGAGCAGATCAAGAGGGAAGTCCCGGAGCTGCTTATTAACGCATGGTACCTTGATGATGGCACCCTGTGTGGTTCCCTCAGCGACATTGGTTATGCTCTCGCCATAATCGAGTCGGTCGGACCATCATGAGGCCTCATCCTCAACAAGAGCAAATCTCTTCTCTTTGTTCCTGCTGATGTTTCCCCCTCTAATCATGCTGTACCTCCTGTCCCAATTTGCAGTGATGGTTTTGAACTCCTGGGCTCTCCGATTGGCCCATCATCCTACTGTGAGTCTTCTGTCCTGAAGAGAGTCAATAAGATCCAAGAGGCTCTAAACAACTTACGAGACCTCCATGACTCGCAGATGGAAGCCATTCTCTTGCGTTCTTGTCTCTCCTTGCCAAAAATTGCCTTCGCCCTACGTACATGTGCCCCGGACCTCATTCGACCTGCAAAACTTTAGACGACACGATTAGGGAGACTTTATCTGACCAGGCGGGGTGTCCCCTCCCAGACTGGTCATGGCTGAAGGCTTCCCTCCCGAGCAGCCTGGAAGGCTTGAATCTTCGCGGGCAGCACTACATGCTCCAGCCACCTACATTAGTTCGCTGCATCGTTCCGAGCCTCTCATCTCTGATATTCTCGGCCATTCACCATCACCTCCTGCTTTGCTTCCCTCCTGTGTGAGGGTCCTCGGTATGGCAGCCTCGATGCCAGATTGGTCCTCTCTGCAGAACATTGATGTTCCTCTATGTCAACGTACTCTCTCCCGTCTAGCCTCCTTCGATATTCTCCTCGAGTCTGCCCCTGGTGTTTGTTCAAAGGCCTAGGCTCACTCTTCGGCCCACTCACATGCTGGGGATTGGCTCAATGTTGTTCCTTCCTCTGCTCTTGGCCTTCATCTCCTGGACCAAGAGTTTCGCTCCTGTCTTCAATATTGGCTGGGGCTCCCTATTTTTGTGGAGGGGGTAAGTCTGTCGGAGCATTGCTGACCCCTTCGGCGATCACTATGTAGGTTCTGGGGATAATGGGGATCGTATCCATCGTCACAACTCTATCCGGGATGCAATATTCTCAGCAGCACAGACAGCTACTTTGGCGCCCCGGAAGAAGTTGCTATCTCTTGTGCCCTGCTCCCAATCTCGCCCTGCTGGCATTTTCCTCCTAGGTCGTCCAGCCGCGTTTGACGTCTCCGTTATTTCCACTCTGCAACAGCTTACCTTCAGTGGTGCAGCCAGTGTCCAAGGGCACGCATTGAGAGTAGGAGAGGAGAGGAAGACGGCCCTTCATGCTGCCTCTTGCCGGGCTGTGGGAGTGTTGTTCATCCCTCTCTTGGTTGAGTCTGTCGGAGGCTGGAGCGATCTCGCTGCCAAAACTCTCTCCATTATTTGTCGGTTCCTAGGGCAGCGGCTGGGCATACCACCCTCGAAAACCACCCGTCACCTCTTCCAACGGTGCGCTATTTGCCTTTGGAGAGGAAATGGAACTCTGTGGCTTCACCGTTGCCCAATGCCTCCCCTGCACATTGACAGTATTATTTAGCGTTTTAATGTTTTTCTTTTGTTTTTTGTTGTTTTTGTTTATCATTTATTTTTTGGCCTTTGATGTTTTTTGTTTTTGTTTTGCTTGTCTTTTGTATCGTTTACTGTTTCTGGAAAAAGAAAAAAAACTAGAGCGGTGAACAGAACGGTACTTACTTTACGCTTTCAGCTTGTCTGTCGTGGTCCACCAGGCTGCTATATTGGCTAGGCAGCGATCGATCGGGCTAGCCAACCACGCGGCGTGTGTAAGCGTAGCTAGCTAGCTATATCTCTTTCAGTCACAGAATTTTACGAAATAATGCTGCCATGCCGCCTGCCTACCGGGTCAAAGTTCACAATTGCGCATGATGTGTTTCAACCTAAAGGGTTAATAAGACGATTGCGAAATTACCGTTTTGCGTGTGAAATGGCACAGTTCCGCCCGTTATAAAATCCACTCGAACGAACGACTATGTTGGCTCGCTCCCGCTAGCCAATAATAGCCAAATTTATCCAACATTTCCGTGCCTATGCAGGCATCATCTTTAGGGAGTAATTAAGACAATGTTAAAGGGTGATGGAATGTGTGGAGTGGTATATAGTGTCCACCACTGTCTCAGGCTCTATATAGTCAGAAAAACTCATCACATACCATCACTATCACCTGGTGCATAGCATAGGCAGTAGGTGTCAAGTTTAGTTCTATATACGGTGGAAGCCCGGACGCAAGAACATATCACTATGCCTGATTATGCCTCATTCTGTTGTGAACTCTACTGCGAGGATTCTGAGAAAATTGAACATTAATGTCTCATTTCACCCACATTGCACTCTGGCTCAGTGTAAGTAGCTACAAGTGCACAATAATACGTGATGTACAGAAAATCCCAGAATAGCAACTTGTGCTATGTTTGTAGATTTCCTGTAGGTACATCACATATTTTGTGCACTAGTATATACCGACATAGCCACACTGAGCCACAAAATGCGATAAAACTTAAGCGTTTTATAGTGGAAATGGCAGCATCTCATGCATGATCATAGTTAGTTTCTACTGCTTAGCTACAACACTCGAAAATTATTAAGCTTGCTGCTCATCGACAATTGCCTCCAGTTTTAGATAAGAGAGCTGTTTTGGTACTAGCTCCTTGAGCTTTGAAAAGCAATTATATGTTGCCCTAGCAGAATGCCATATATCGGTGGGTACAACATGGCAGGAGATTGGTGTACCTCGTAGTTTATTAACCCTCGGCGCGCATGCGCAGCGAGGGTTACAGTAGTTACCCTCGGCGCGCATGCGCAGCGAGGGTACTGTAGTTGGGTTTGTCTGTGTGTGTGTGTGTGTGTCTGTCTGTTACTCTCAATCTCATTTCTCCAATGTCTGTTCGTCTCACAAACGATACAACCAACTTAACGGGCAATGAAGGTCAGAAATTTGGAACGGTTTTCTCTGAAAATGCTCCGTTGCAAAGCTAGAGCGCTTCCACATTGTATGGCTAATTCCGGTAGTCGGCATTTTATCGCTGGCGGATAATGCGCATGCGCTTATATTTAGCAAAGGACCGGGTCCGCTTGCTCCTTCCATCTTGAAGGGACAAGAAGTCACAACGAATGGCGTGTATCGACTCTCGCGTGCTATCTACTACTGTAGCTGGCCCGTGTCAGAATCTCTGCGAGCTACTTCGCCGAGGGTTTGCACTTTAGTGCTTTTCATTGGGTTTGTCTGTGTGTGTGTGTGTGTCTGTCTGTTACTCTCAATCTCACTTCTCGAATGTCTGTTCGTCTCACAAAGGATACGACCTACTTAACGGGCAATGAAGGTCAGAAATTTCGAACGGTTTTCTCTGAAAATGCTCCGTTGCAAAACTAGAGCGCATCCGGCATTGTACGGCTAATGCCGGTAGACGCCATTTTATCGCTCCGGAAAATGCGCATGCGCTTATATTCAGCATAGACTTACCTCGACCGGGTCCGCTTGCTCTGTGTATCTTGAAGCCACAAGAAGTCACAACGAATGGCGTGTATATATCGACTCTCGCATGCTATCTATTGCTGTAGCTAGCCCGTGTCAGACTCTCTGCGAGCTACTAGCGGGAGACCGCGAGTAAACGCACACTAATAACCCAGCCCATCAATTAGCGGTACCGCGCATTTGCAGTTCGCCGAGGGTTTGCACTTTAGTGCTTTTCATTGGGTTTGTCTGTGTGTGTGTCTGTCTGTTACTCTCAATCTCACTTCTCGAATGTCTGTTCGTCTCACAAACGATACGACCTGCTTAACGGGCAACGAAGGTCAGAAAATATGTGGGGTTTTCTCTGAAAATGCTCCGTTGCAAAGCTAGAGCGCTTCCACATTGTATGGCTAATGCCGGTAGTCGCCATTTTATCGCTGGCGGATAATGCGCATGCGCTTATATTTAGCAAAGAACCGGGACCGCTTGCTCCTTCTATCTTGAAGGCCACAACGAATGGCGTGTATCGACTCTCGCGTGCTATCTACTACTGTAGCTGGCCCGTGTCAGACTCTCTGCGAGCTACTTCGCCGAGGGTTTTGCACTTTAGTGCGTTTCATTGGGTTTGTCTGTCAGTCAGTCAGTCTGTCTGTCTGTTATTCTTCATCTCACTTCTCGAATGTTTTTTCGTCTAACAAAGGATACCACCTACTGAACGGGCAATGAAGGTCAGAAATTTCGAACGGTTTTTTCTGAAAACGCTCCGTTGCAAAGATAGAGTGCGAAAAAGCCAATACGCAAATACAAAACGGACGGGACGGCTTACCGCGGTCTGATCGATCCGCGTGCTCTGCGTACCTCGGAGGCACTAGAAGATGCAACGCAGGGCGTGTATCGCCTCTCGCATGCTATCTAGTAGTGTAGTTAGCCTGCGTCAGACTCTGCGCGAGCTGGGAAGAGACCACGAGTGACAGCTAAAAGTGACTAGTCAACAATTAGAGATTACATTTTGAAGTAAAATGATACAAATAGGAAATCAGTCAGGAAGCTGTATATCAGTACACTGTGAAGATTCATGTAAATGTTGTTGGGAGAAACCAGGTGGCAGAGATTCTCTGATAGTAAGAGCCACTAGAGATTTACTTGTCTGTATCCAGTCAAAACTATGTACTTTAGTGCGCATCAGCTGTTGGGACTCAAGCTTGTTGTGGTACAGGTGAACAGAGTAGATTCTTGTTTTATTGTAGCCAGATATAGAATCAAAGTCCTCTGTGTAGAGTTCATCAAGTCCTTTGGCATCGTAACACATTGGGTGAAAGCCACTTTTCCATGGAAGAATTGCCACATCATCTCTCTCTTTGTCTAGTGACTTGACAAAGGAAGAGAGTGCACCTACTGAATGAGTAATCCATCCACCATTGAAATTCTTGCAGCTGAAATGGGCAAACCGACACAACACACAACTGTGTTTCTGTGACATCATCAGTGCAACATTAATCTTACTACCACACTGCTCAGACAGTACCATTTGGTGCTTGAGGAGAGGGTCAAATGAATTTAAACTCAAAATGTCACTATCGATGTATATACCCCCACTGTGATAGAGGATGGAGAGACGAAGAAAATCAGATTTATGTGGTAGAAGTTTGATGGGAACACGATTCAAAACGTTAGCCCCAGGCAATGCGTGAATGATTTGGTGGTCAATGTATGGGAGAGCACGTCTCCACCAGCAGCTGTCTTGTAGTCCGTCAGTATAGACAGTGATCTTGTCTGGCTTTATCTTGTTCCTGGCACTCACTACTGCCAGCCATTCAATGAATGAGAACGGACGATTCAGAGACACAAAATGGACATGTTTGGGTATAGGGGTAGTACTAGTTTGGACACAATTGTTTTCACAAGACTTCAACCAGTCACCACAACCTACAGATAAAAAGTCGTAAGAAAGCATAATTGTTGCATATCAAACACTAATAAGATGTCACAATAATCGATGCGTAGGTAATCTAGCTAGTATAATTTATGCATAGTTAATGTTGCTAGTATCATCCTCCAAGAGTTTTTGTACGAGAGCCTGGCTGCTCGAAATACTTCAGTCATGGCTTAGTTTATGTAGAGCCCTGGCACCAATCATATTTGTTGCCAACTATGAGAATAACTATGGACAACTTTGGCACTACATCATGTGGCACACTTCCTTTTAAGAAAATCTAACGGTATATAGTACATACAGCTTCCAGGGTTTCCCTTTTAACAACAATAGCAAAACCTAGGAAAAGACTGCAGGGAAAGGACAGCTAGCTAGTTGCTATGTAAGTGGTAACAAATTAGTTGCACATGGCTTAGCCTGGTATTATAGTCTGGCATAGCCACACACTCTTGCATAAAGAGGAGAGGGTCAGGTCCGCCTAGCATCAGCGACTTTGTGCAAAATCACCAAATCACCAATCAGATTGCAGAACAGCCAATTAAAAGCTTATGTGACATCACGTTATCGTGCAATGTGCAAAATCAGTAGCCTTAGCACTTCAAGATGGAGGGCATCTATGTCTTGAGATACCCGCTAAGAGCAGGAGACTGGATGGCGAAGGTCGATCTGAAGGACGCATATTTCATGCTCCCAATTCGCGAGGAAGAAACACCTTTACTCAAGTTCTCCCTGAAAAACGACACCTACCAGTTCAGGTTCCTGCCATTCGGCCTAGCATGTGCCCCATGGGTCTTCACCAAGAACTTGAATCCTGTCGCTGCCCAGCTGAGACAACTGGGAATGCGACTGATCATCTACATAGACGACACCCTAATCCTGGCAGAGTCCTAGAAACTGGCTTGGGACCATGCGATAGGCCTGGTACCTGCTGGAAAACCTTGCCTTCGCAGTAAGCAAAGCCAAGTGTCAGCTAGAACCGACGCACACCATAGAGTTTCTCGGTTTCACTGTCAGCTCACTCAGCCAAGAGCTGAGCCTCCCCAATGGCAAGATCAACAAGATCAGAGACGAGACACGGGCCCTGTTGGGAAACAGGCAGATGTCAATATGAAAGCTATCGCAACTCCTGTGAAAACTCCAGGCTGCAACTTACCCTAGCACCCCTGTTTTTCCGCAAACTTCAACTAGCGTTGAAGCGGGGTCTGGACCTGTCTGGCCAAGACTACTCCATGCAGCTATCACTCTCGTGGGAAGAGCGGGAGAAACTGCAGTGGTTGGTAGACCACTTAATGGGCAAAACTCTCATGATGGAAATAGCCGTAGAGTCGGATGCTTCGACCCACGGATGGGGGGCGACCTACGACGGTGTTCGTATTGGCAGACCTTGGTATCCGGATGAGAGCCAGTGGCACATGAAGTGCATGGAGGCGCTGGCAGCCTTTCACGCAGTGAGGTGCTTTATCAGGGACAGAAGAGACCAGAGACGTTTCAGCGCTATTGAGGTTGGACAATACCTCAGCCATCTGCTACATAAACAAGCTAGGTGGGACAGTCTACCTGAGACTAAACCCTATCGTCAGAGACCTATGGCTATGGTGCATGAACAGGGGGATAACCTAAGTGCAGAGCACCTCCCGGGAGTGCTGAACACTGTAGCCAACAAGGAATCTCGAGCGATGAAGGACCACTCAGGATTGGATGCCCCACCCTCAGGCATTCCTCCAGATCCAGCAGCACTGGGCCAACTGACGGTGGACCTGTTTGCGTCCAGGCTGACTACCAAGCTGCAGAGATTCTTCAGCTGGAGACCACACTCAGAGGCAGAGGCTCTGGATGCTTCCAGCAGGACTGGATACAACTCCAGGGGAAGACATATGGCAACCACAGTGGAAACAGAGTCTGCCAGCAGAAGATCACGCTAGTCCTGGTTGCCACAGTATGGAAGAGCCAACAATGGTACCCGATGTTGTTGGAGTGCTGGACTCCCTGGTTGATTTTCCAAATCTCCTCACATCTCCAACCTGATCATCCCGACACACCCAGAGAGTGTCCCAGAGATGATGCCCCGACTAGCAGCTGCCTGGCATAACCAGGATAAGGAAATTCGCAAGAGGGCACAGAGTTGCTCCTCGCGTCGTGGGGACTCCCTCTTCAGAAAGTGGATCATCCGGTGTAGTGAACGAAGTTCAGATCCCGTTTCGGGTCCTATCAGTGAAGTGGTGAATTTTCTGGCTCACCCATTCAAGGAAGGCTATCAATATAGCTCCCTGAATGCAATGCCTACCGCTTGGCTATCTCGTTAGTGCACGAAAAGGTTGATGGTTATGAGGTGGGTCAGCACCCCTTGGTGTCTAGTGAAAGGGGCATTGAACCGTCGTCCTCCCCAGCAAAGATAACAGTCAACGTGGGATGTAGAGATTTGGATTTCCTGGTTTCCCTAGACCATCAGGAAACCTCCCACTAAAAGACCTGGCCTGTAAACTGGCTATGCTCATGGCCCCGACAACACCATCCAGGTCTTCAGATCAAGCAAAGCTAGACTTGAGGTTCAGGTGATTTACCCATGAAGGGGTAACATTCCAAGATAACGGCCTTGCCAAACAGGCGAGGGCTGGGAAGCCAAGAGCAGAATTCTTCTTTCCGGCTTTTTGAGGAAACAATCATGTACCCAAAAGAGACACTGAGAGTATACGAGGATAAATCAGCGAGTCTCCGCTCACAGAACGATGCTGAGCGAACAAGATTGTTCTTGGCAGTGGTAAAACCAGACCACAACTTCCTCACATATACATTCCAGAATAGCTGGAACCCACTACGTGGGCTGAGACATTCTGTAATTATTATTTCAGAAGGCTCGGTCTCCATATGAACAGTAGTAGTTTGTAGTCCCTGTTGGACAGCACTGCTGATCCAAACACACCCAATCGAATCGCCTTGTTGTGAAAACAGACTCGGAACTCCTGTCAGCTGCTTTCAGGATATGTGCCATAGTGACGCCCGCAATTGCAGCGGCCGATGTGGCAGCACCCCTCACTGAGTTTACTTTGAATATGCCTGTATGGATACCTGTTTTCTCTAGGAAAGACTTTAGCCATCTCGGCAATGTTGAGGAGCTAACCGGCTTGTGTGGTTTTACCACTGCCAGGAACAATCTTGTTACAACATATCGAAACTTAAGTAGGGTTTCTCTCTGAAATTGCTGCATTCGAGAGGTAGCTACGATGTGAAAACAAAGTGAATGAAGTAATATGCAAATGTATATAGCACGGGCTTACCTCTCGACCAGATGCACTTGTTCGTACAATAATTATACACACAAAAGGAACAGCAATTACCTGATGATATTGCATTCCACTCCTTATGTTTTGATTCTGCAGGGTATAATAATAGGCACCATTATGTGTACATATTACCTCATGCGTGTAATAGACACAATAGTAATTATGCACCTTTTACCTCTGTGGGGATTAAAATGTAACTAAGATTATTTTCAGATCATGATAACTAAAAACGGTGTAAAAACCAACACCATACTACTAATTTGTGACATCATTTTGTGCGGTTTTGTGAAAGAGTTTGATAACCGTAAAAATGCACACCCTGTTTGAGAATTGTGGCTGCCATGCTTGCACACAAATCGAAGCAGAGGTGACAAATGAGAGTAACCTTTTTCTAGAAGTCGAGCAGCGAGAGATCCAGGAGAGATTCCAATGCCACACTAATCAGCCTGCACTACGGAGTCTGCAGAGTTCACCGTTGCGCATGCACAAGGTTCAAGATGCAATATAATGAAGCACACATCTGCAAATCTCATTTCCAAAAGGAAGGAACATGTGAAGTAATTTGCAACAAATGTCCTGCACAGCTTGCTCATGTGCATGAAGAAGTTTCATATTCTTCCTGCACAGGTAAAATATTTTGCAGGATTGTTTCGTACACTTCCACTTTAGCATGTGGATAAAGGCTTTCATAATGTTCCTTTGAGAATTGAATTATAATGATGCCTGCTCTCAGTATATAGTTCGAATGTTTGAAGGAAATGTGACAGTATATAAAAGGGCTAAAATAGTGTGACCCGCTCTGGGAAAAGGTACAATTCAGCGCAAATATAGATTTTTCGATATGCGCGCATGTAGCAAAAAAACTCGGCAAATATAGTTTATGACACAGGTGAAAACTATAACCTAGCGTCTACTTTTTCGCGTGGGAATGAAGTCGATTTATCGCTCATAGCGCCAGCAGCGTATCCTCGTAGTTGTGGGCGTTGCCTCCGCTTGTATTGCATCATAAAATTTCCGCACATCGAAATAACGCGCACAGAAGGGTGCGCGCGTTATTGCGTACGGTGCTCGAACGAAAGCAGTTACGAAGGTGCGGTTTTCTGTAGCGTGCATTGCGCTTTCGAAATATACGCGTGACGCAATTTTTGCGCCGAATTGTATCCTTTTCCCAGAGCGGTCTATCCACTCCCCGCAGAGATTCGGAACGGAATCACGCCATTTGTGCGCATGAGCGCAAAATGTTTTTACTCTTGAACGTTTGGCATATTGTCCGTCTGTCCTAAAGTTTGAGTATACAGTAATCCGTAGTCTATACGGTCTACGGATAAAATCTGACAGCACTGCAGTCCATCGGCGCTGACTTCGGCCCGGTAGGGAAGAACCGAAAGCCGCTGCGGAGGGTATCCGCACCCCGCCATCCTAGACACCGCTAGTCCACCCAGAGGTGTTCGACGGGACGAGCAGCTGGGACGAATTGGCCTTCCACTTTGAGAACGTCGCCGCCGTCAACCGATGGGATGATGCAGAAAAACTGAAATGGCTCCGAGTTCGTCTCATGGGACGCGCCCAGAAGGCTATTCAGCGACTCCCTGAGACGTCTGCGTCGACGTAAGTGGCAGCCCGTGCCGCTCTGAAAGCCCGCTTTGACCAGGGGAATCGCCATACCCACTACCGAGCTGAGTTTCAGGCGCGCCATAAGAAAGCGACGAGGGGTGGGCAGACGACTTGAAAGCCTTGGCCGACAAAGCGTACCCCACGCTCCAGGATGAGGCTCGGGAACAACTGGCCATCAACTCGTTTCTGCAGCAACTGACGCCTCCGCAGGTCGCATTCAGTGTGAAACTAAAGCGGCCGGCTTCGCTAGACGATGCTGTGGCGGCAACGCTAGAGCTGGAGTCGTACGTTAGCCCTCCGTCTGCAGGGGTTTCCTGTACACAACCCGAGGAAGCTGTCTACTCACCTGTGATGTCCGAAGCCATACACGTGGAACAGCTGACTAAAGTGAAGCAACTCACGGAGCAAGTGGAACGTTTACAGACTGCTGCAGCCCGCCCTCAACAAAGGAGGATCCGTCCGTTCTCTGGAGAGTGCTGGAGATGCGGGCAACCTGGCCATATGGCACGGAACTGTTGTCGGAACTCCTCAAGGCAGCAGGGAAACTGACTCCCTTCGGCGCCAAGGACCGATCGACGGAGGATGACTTCAGTCAGGTCCAACGTTTCGAATATCATTCAGCTTATGCCTCACCTGCCTGCCCAAGTGGGTTTCGCCTCAGTGGGTCCCTCAATTGGGTCGCTGTGTCAATGCTCGTTGACACAGGAGCAGCCGCCACTTTGCTTCGGCTGGACGTGTGGGAACAGATTGTGGCACACCATAAGTTGCCCCTCGAACCCTGTCCATCATTGCGACTTCTTATAGCTGGAGGAGAGCCATTGACTGTCCACAGTCATTGCAAAACCACCCTAGGACTAGGGTCAAACACATTCGTCATAGATGCTGTGATGGTCAACCCTCTCGCGTCTCAAGCAATCCTGGGCCTTAACTTCCTCGTTGAGCAACGAGCAACGATTGACCTGCCCAATTGTACCCTGCGTCTGGGAGAGAGGGGATATAATATCCCTCTAGAAGATCCTTCCCCGCCAAGTGGCCTCACTACTAAACTACCAGTCCGCTCCACCGCTACCAACAGATTTTGAGAGATGTCCCACCCAGGAGCTCTGTGCTAATAACTGGGTTAGTAGCCGGAACACGTGAAGGTCTATGGCTTCTTGAGGAGGCTCCCAGGAAATGACTACCAGTTGCAGTTGCACATGGCCTGGTGGAGTTATCATCAGTGGAACTCCCTGTCGTTGTCCTCGAAGAGACCATGACTGTGTACAAAAACATAGAGATTGCTAACTTGCAGGAGGTCAACGAACCAGCTACATATGAAGTAGGAGCGGTAGACGAAGGACAAGCCACGGCAGTGGAGGAAGACAAACGAGAGAAGTTCTCTGGGACCTTGTTGAGAATTCCTCAGCTGATCTCAGCCAGGGTGAGAAGGAGTTATCCTACAATCTTTTGCTGCCCTACGCAGATGTAATTGCATATTCCACCTAAGATTTGGGGAATGGAGTTTAATGTCCCATTAAACGGAGTTAACATAATAATTATGAGCGATGGCATCGCGCGGTTTTCATGGCGCTGTGTGGTGGTGTTCACGGCGTGAGTCTGGCCTCGGGTATGCGCATGCGTAGGGTTGTATATACCTGTACAGCAGGGGGAGGGGTTGTTCGTCAAAGTAACTGAGCATGCGCAAGCTCTCATTTTGTGCGCGTGGCTCTCCCGCCAGCAACTGAGCAGCTTTCTTCATCCCCCTGAATCAGGCCAGATGTCCGACGACGAGAGCCGGGAGCCCTTGCAGTTGGGCAAGCGAACCTTAGACGCGATCATAGAGGGGGTTGCGGCCAAGCTCCGGGAGAGTCCGCCCGAAAAGTGGCCTAATACTGAGCCCGGCACTTCAAGAAAGGGCAAAGGTGAGTAAAAAAAAAGGAGGTAGATAGATAGGCTTCTTTTTTTCCCTACTCCACCCGCTCGGGTGTGAAACTCCACATGGGGGAATGGCTAATTGCCCTGCCGCGCGAGGACCGGGGCGAAGGGGCCCCGCCAGGCTCACTTAGGCCAGGGGGTGCAGTGGCGCCCCGCCAAGCTGACGAAGCGGCCAGGGGGTGCAGTGGCCCCCCAATGTGCCTAGCGCGTGAAAAGGGGGTGCAGTGGCCCCGGTAAGTCTTGCGCGAGTGCTGCTGCGAGGGGGGGCAGAGCCCCTTGTCATATAACCACCAGCTGAATGGCAGCCAAGCTGGCCCCCAGATTATCGTGGTCCAGGCAGCAGAGCTCATGCAGGCCAGGAAGATCATACCTGACTTAGCCACATGGACACAGTGTCTTGCCAGTTGCTGGGCGAGCCAGCCATAAACCACTAGCGGGTACTATTGCTGACAGATATCTCCCGCTGCTTGGCAGGGAAAGAACCACCATGTGCAGCAGACCTACTGGATGCAGGGGTCCAGAGCTTTGACAGCGAGGACGGCAAAGACAAAGAAGACCCAGTGGGGGGGGGATTGATTCACTCCTAAGCAAGCTGGACAACGATGAAGGGGGCAGCAACTCACGCCCCCCTGCGCCGCTGGTTACTGTTGGAACGGGGCTGTCAGCTCTCTCCAAGAAACTCATAGCCAGAGTGCTCGCCAACGAATACATAGATTTTGCGGAGCTTCCTCCTGCAAAGGGAAAAGGCAGGCCCATGCCTCCATCGCTGGAAGGCCAGATTATCGTGGTCCAGGCAGCAGAGCTCATGCAGGCCAGGAAGATCATACCTGACTTAGCCACATGGACACAGTGTTTTGCCATTTATGCCGCAACACTGTGTTCCAAACAACCAGCTCGAATACCTGAGTTAATGGCCTACCAAACCATAATAGCAAAGGTCAGTCAGTGCTACCGGTGGCCTAGCTGGGTAGTGTACGACCAGAATTTCCGGCAGGAGGCAGCGGGTAACCCCCACCAATCCTGGGCCAGGGTGGACCCAAGTATATATGCGCAGTGCTTCACTGGGCAGGCAATCAGCACTGAGAACTGGTGCACAAGATGTCAATGCCTTGATCACACTACCTCCAGCTGCCCATACCGCCCAGGAAGAAACAGTGGGGGATCACAGCCGGCAGCAACACTATGCCGACCCAAGGCAGGCAGGAACAGCAGATCTGCATCAAATACAATAAGTTCAGCGGTGACTGCAAGTTTGGGAAGGAGTGTCGCTACCTTCACGTGTGCAGTGCATGCAAGGAGCCCCACCCTGTCTCGCGCTGTACCGCGGGGAAAGAAAGCACCGGTTCCACTAGCAAGTGAAAGACGAACACTGAGACATACTAAGATGAGCGGCAGCATGCATGAGTGCCTGCACATGTCACTGGCATTGTAGCCATGAGCATTATATTATATATAACAGTGTGGGGGTATTATGAAGGGGACCCCTCCCCTAGTAGGCTAGCAGGAGTCATGGATGAGTCTCTGACCCTTCACCTTTCTTTCCCTCTCCTCGCTCTCCCGTATCTCATCTCTACTACTCCCCTTCCTCCCTCCTCCCTCTCTGTCCCTCACACTATCGCAGACGGTCAATACAAGTATACTGACCAACTACTGGAGTTGGAAGTCTGTTTCTCAGGTAGAAACGAAGCTCTGCCAGCCTATTTGTGTCAGGTGGTAACACCGCTGAAGCTCGAAGCATGGCGCAAGGCCCTGAGCGATTATCCGGACCAGAGGTTTGCAGTATATACCGGGGGGTTGAGCAAGGGTTATAGGATTGGCTACAATCCCCACATGGTTAAGCTGCAGCCAGCCAGAGCAAACATGTCCTCAACAGCAGCGCAGCCAGAGGTGGTCGAGAAATACCTGCTCAAGGAACTATCAGCCAACCGGATTGTGGGCGTCAACGGCTCGGATACTGATCTCATCCACTGCAGCCCGTTCGGGGTGATCCCCAAGCGGAACAGACCGAACAAGTGGAGGCTTAATAGTTGACCTCTGCTCGCCCGAGGGTCATAGCGTGAACGATGGGATCAGCAAGGACTTGTCTAGCCTGTCATATGTGTCAGTGGAAGATGTCGTTACGGGTCGGTATCATACAGCGGGGGGGGGGCGCACTCTTAGCAAAAATGGACATTTGCCAGGCGTACAGGAGTATCCCCATTCACCCACATGATAGGCTGTTACTGCTTGGGTATGCAATGGCAGGGGATTACATTGGCAGACACAACCCTGCCTTTTGGTCTAAGATCAGCACCTCTGATATTTTCAGCAATCGCAGATGCACTGAGGGGTCATGGAACGAATGGTGTCGGTGGGTGGCCATCTACATCGACGACTTCATACCATGGGGCCCTCGGCTCGAGGATATGCGCGTCAAACTCCTTGTGATGCCATGGCTGCGACCAAAGGGTCTGCAGTAGAGCCCGATAAGGACGAGGGCCCTGCTCTACACTGTCTTTCTGGGCATTGAGCTGGATTCAGTGGCAATGGAGATCCGCCTCCCACGGAGAAGCTCACTCGCCTCCGGGAGAGAGATAGCAACTTGGAGGGCTCAGTAAAAAATGCAAAAAAAGAGTACTTCTCTCATATGGCATACTATCTAATGCGGGCAAAGGGTCCGGTCAGGAGATCATTTCTCGCAGACTAATCGTTCTATCCACGATCCCATGCATTTAGAGCATACGTACGCCTCAACCTTAGGCCAGGTCAGATATTGAATGGTGGGCCCAGTACTCGACAGGTATGGAATGGTGTATCCATGATGCACCTTCCTAATATGCATCTCCGGAAGTGGTGCTGACGTCCGATCTGCATCGGGTAATTGGGGATGCGGAGCCTATTCTGGGCCCTCACTGGTCATGCTACTTGGACTGGCTCGATCGCTGCTGACTATCATATCACAGTGAAGAGCTCATACCCGATTGTAATAGCGGGCGCTATGGGGGGGTGCAGGTGGCGTGGGCTCCACCGTCCTGGCACATGCGAGTAATATGGCAGTAGTGGTCCCATAGTGAATCATGGCTCGTCAAGAATCAGGACGGCAATGCACTGGCAGATGCTAGCTTTTATAACGCCAAGTTAGACTTCCATGTAGTGGCGAAGTACATCAAAGAGCTCATAACGTACGAGCGGATGCGTTATCACGTGTAAACCTCTCCTTTGTTCCGCTCGCTACACCCACAGGCCATAGCAAGACTGGAGCACTGTGCCGCAGGTCGTTTCTAGATCTTCTGATTCTGTCCAAGCCAGATCGACATCCAAGAGTTGGACCGAGCTGTGGACCGCTACTTCAAAACGGGACTAGCATCATCAACCCAAAGAACTTACAATCAGCAAAGAGGCGTACCTTCAGTTGCAAGGATAAACGCATTTGTCCCCTACCGGCACCAGAGAGACAATTATGTTGGTTTGTGTCCTCATTAGCCCTTCAGTCGTTGTGTCATAGTACTATAAAATCTTACCTCGCCGCTATCAGACACCTACAGGCTATGGAGATCCGCACATCATAACATGGCCAGACTAGAGCAGTCTTGAAAGGGATTAAAACCGTGCAGTCAAGAGGTTCTAAGAGAAGCAGAACGGCTACCCATAACACCTACCCTCTTGGCAAAGCTGAAAGGAGTGTGGGTCACGGGGGCCGAAACCAATTCGAGGGCCAAAGGTCTGGGCTGCAGCGTCCTCTATGTTGCTTTGGGTTCATGGAGTCAGGAGAGCTCACAATCCTTCGGCGAAGTCCTATGATGAAGGGTGCCCATCTCAGCTTTCAGGATGTACTGGTGGACGCGTCCATAAACCCACGCATTCTCCGTGGTGCACTTGAAAGCATCAAAGACAGACCACTTCAGGGTTCTGGACTGTCACTGGCTACGCGGGACCACGGAAATGCACTATGTTCAGTCACTGTCCATGCTTCACTACATGGT